GTGTGTGTATGTATGTATGTATGTATGTGTGTGTGTGTGTGTGTGTGTGTATGTATGTGTGTGTGTGTGTGTACACGTATATATATATATATATATATGTATATGATGGATAGTGACGACTTAGCATTGCGCAAACAATAAAATTGTCTATGCTCATGACTGTGTAGCGTGTATGGTCCTGGATATAAGCGTAGGGGCACATGTTTGCTCGTGCAATGATATACGGCTACACCGAATCTGTAATTTGCAGTCAGCACGTCTTATACAGCTCTATTATAGTACAATGGCGAAGGTCCTCTGTGTCGACAATGCTGAAAAGGTCAGTGTGTCGGCACTGCTGTTCTATTTGTTAGTTTGGCTACCTGCTGATAACCATGACCTTGTTCGATCCTATAGATAAATGGTACAGCAGATGTTCAGATTCTTTGGTATGAACTGTACATATCGTTGACGGTGATCATTCAATTGATATGAAAAAGTATACAAGAGAAATGCTACTATGAGTATCTATGCTATATGTAGGTCGAGATGTACTCGATATAGTTTTATTGCAGCATGCGATATATGAGGCCACTACTGCCCCAGGATTCTGAACACACTCTGACAAACGGATATCGTAGCACTTTGAGGCAAGCGCCGATCAGCGAATGTATTCTTGTTCAGCCCTTCAATCCATATGCTGAAGGTAACACCGCGGCTTTGTGAACCGTGGAACTATCTCTAGCGGACAGCCCAGGGACAATGACAGTGCACGGATCGCCTTTCTGAAGTCGGTTCTTCATATCCATTTCCTCCAACAAGTTGTGCTCAGCCTTGTTGTACAACTCAACACTTCCTATAGTGCTCCAGCTTATCAAGTGGAAGTCCGGACACTCGCGGAACAGCATAGGCCAGAGCTTGGCTTCGACCAAGAAACTTAGTGCTTCGTCTGTAAACCGATGCGTACAGGCCAGCTGTCGCGTAGTAGACTCTACAAACGAATCCCAGTTTTGCAGGATGAGTTTATGCAGTTCGGTATCTAGCTGTTGCTGCAGCGCCGTATCATTGCTAGCCAATAACTTCGAGGCATTCCGTGTGCAGCTAATCAGCTGAGTGCATTGCAATTCTACGTCTTGCAGACAGCATCTCAACCTGGAGTTGAATTTCGTTAACGTCTCTTCGTGGGACAGCACTCCGTCGAGCATTATCGGCAGCGCGGAATTGATAAACTGACCCATGTGCGATGTGAATTCCGCCTTCGTCGGTGTTTTCCCCATTATGTTGCTGCTCTTATGGCCCGAGATTTCCGCGATTTGGTTGCCTGTATAGAAGTGTAAGTGATAGTGGTTGTAAGCGGCGCAAGTGATACTATATAGTCTCAGCAGATTGGTATGGTTATGACACACTACGTGCAGCGTATGCACTATAATAAACTATCGACTTACTCAATTCAATTTTTCTTTGATTGTAGGCTTCGATTTGAGCTTCCACTTTCTCAGTTTCAGCTGTTGCCGCAGTAAGATCGCGTCTTGCTCTGCTTGCTCTTTCTCCAGCATACTTCGCATCACTTTTTTTCCTCTCAACACTCTCTCCAAGCGACTTGACCTCCACTTGCAATTTGGAAATTTCGTCAGAGTTCTCAATCTTCATCTTATCTAATTTGATTTTTAGTCCTTTAATCTCCTCATCTGCTTTCATGCGGGCATGTCGCAAACACTTTTTTGTCTCGTGCTCTAGTTCATCCTGTTCCTTCAGCTCACGGACAAGGAGATCCTGGATGTCATTCTGCAAATTATATCTATCCTCAAAAGCTGTATTTATGAAATGTAAGAAAGGTTTATATTAAAAAGTAGAAAGTTTGAATGGATGCTTATATCTATACCACATTCAGCGCTGTATTAAATGCACCGGATGTTTTTCTATCACTTCCCAAAGTGAACGAAATGATCTATTGCATGCATGAAATCACTACGAGTACTTGGAAAAGCAGAGGTTCAGACGCGGAGTTGGGGAACCTTTTGCAATTCGTTCGCTTTCCTCGACTTCTCCGAGCGCTCTTGCCGTGTCACGAAGACCCTTGATCCGATCCCTTATCTCCGTTTCACCGCTTTTGTTGTGGATAGCATTCGATGGACTCCAATATCCATCATTTTTATAGGTTACTAAGTCGGTCGTGCGCGCGTCCATTTTAGAGAAATGGAGATGAATCGGTAGGTGTTTGCTGTTATATATTTTTGCATACTCCTTTCTCCCGTGATATGTGACATTTTCAAGGAACTTTTTTTAGGCTTTTTTTTTATATCATGTTACAATCATGATATTGACCATGACACTATCGTAGTGGATCAGCGTAGAAAGGCCCCGCTTTCGGTTTGATAGTTGCATTGAAACAGTCCATGAAAAATAACATGATACAATAAATCACATATGTATCCTAGGTGGATCAGCACATGCAAGCCACGTATATGGTTTGTTTGCATTGTAATAGTACATGATAAATATCATGATATCTACGATCCATCTCAGATATCTCCTAGTAGGTAGCACACTAAGCACAGGCAGGTATAAATATTTGCTTGCGTTGTAAATAGAACAATCTTGTGTTTTCACTCCTGTTGACCTGTTTCATGTTAGTGATTATATGTTTATTGTTTTTGTGTATGTATCATTTTTGTGTTTGCACATAGCCTTCTAAGGTCCAGGGCGGCAGGCCCCCGTCACCATGTATTTAAGTATTTAGTTATGTACATACATATTTAGTTATTTACATACCACATATTTTGTTTAATTTAGGAGGCTATGACGCTAGGTTTGGATATTTAATATATATAAAATCAATGTATATTTATTTACCCAGTGAGACTCCCGTAGTCCCGTCGCCCACGCGAGAGTCCACGACTACAGTCTACAGTCTACAGTCTATTCACACCCTATTTACAATCTCGACAAAAAAAATAGAATTTTTTTAATTTTAAATAATACGTCTCTACGACCAAAGTCCAGACTCCGGACTCCGGAGGTCCAATGTCCACACTTCAAGACCAAGTCTTCAACTCTTGACAGTTGACAGTTGACATTTGACACTTGGCACTCCACTGTCCACACTGGCACACTCCACGAGAGTCCGTGGACCACGGCTTGCGAGTAATACGACTCACGAGTCCACAGACTCCACACTTGACACTTGACGGTTGATAGTTGAGTGTTGCGTGTTGACACTCCAAATTTGAAATTTGTCCACACTCCACGACAGTCTGTCCACAGTCCACAGTCCACTGTCCTAGGACAATTCGTCAATTCAACATGCCTCCAAGGCTCCAGCTGTCCAGTGTTTAACGCCAACTGGTTACTGGCCCACTCAAGGCTGACTCACATATCTGGCTGTTGGGCTGTTGGATGAAGGCTCCATATTCCATAGTCTTTATTTTTGTTATTTATTCGATGTTCATGCCTGAGAGTTGAGACTTGAGAGCCCTCACTCGGTCACTCCTCAGTCCTGAGTCCTGAGTCTCCGGACTTCCTCCTATGACCGCAATCCAGCACTCCATGTCCCAGACTTCATCTGAATGATCATTGATCTGATGATCTGACCAATGGCCATCTCAGACGAGAAAAAAACTATTTCTTTCTATAGAAATAAAATGATTGACTTTAAATTTGAAATTTCAATCCGTTTTTTTTTTGCTAGGAATTTCAGAATCTGGAGCAGGTCCTTTTAAAAAACTCCTTTTCATCAGCAGTTCAGCACTGCTGACCACTGCAGAGTGCAGATGTATCAGTATCATGTTAACGCAAGATCACTTGTTGAAATTTTTTATTGAATTTTTTTATACTCTATTGAAATTCTATGCAGCTGCTTTGTAAATAACACTAGAAGTTCAGACTTGTGGAGATAAGTGTGCATGTACAATACAACAACATACGCGCCGTACTCAATCGCACTGAAAACAAGAATATGCTCCGTGCTCTTGTACCACCGATTTTAGATAGCCCGCGATGATGTTCACGGCCCGCCAGGGGATAAAACTCGCCGTTGAAATCTGTTACCTATTATATTATTCAACAGTTTGCCCACAGCGTCGCTGTTGTATCGTTCTCATCAACTGTTCTCGTCAACTGTTCTCTAACCCGCATAAATGAATGGCTGGAACATCCCAGAGCATGTATACTGTAACTTAGTTTCGTAGCACGCTTGGAATCCTGTCATGGAAAGCAGATTTGCCATAGAATAATACTCTACCTTCAAGTAGTCCACATTGTTGTTCATGGTAGCCAGACGACAAAACTCATCGTGGTTTCTCATATTCTTTTTCAGTAGCTTCGCCACATCGCCGCTATCGTCCTCGTTGACGGACTTTTATTTGGCAGGAGCTGAAAAATCTTAAGAGTTGTACAAAACTCAAGAGCCACCTCGTAGCACCACTGAATATTATCTGTGGAAATGAGGTTTGTTCTTTTCCACTATCTTAAACATGACCTTATGCACACACACCGTTCACCATGGCGTGTGGCCGCACCATAATGGGCGGATCGTGCTGCTCATAGCCATCTCGCATGCCTTGTTGCTGTGAATCCCGACATAATCGTAAAGCTATTGAGTGACGCCATCGGAGTCTTCTTTGTCACTACGGAACCGACCACTTGGTGAACATAATGTTCAGTGCAACAGTAACCACATGGACTCTAAATTCGGCGCACATCCTTGCAAACACAATGTCCTCAGGCAAGAACATGTTATACAAGTTTTCGATCGACACACGATCTATGTCGGAATAGGGACGGCACTACCGGGCATTTGAGTTTAACGCCCTGTTGCCCTTTCCCTATCCACCACTCGTCACACTTCAAAACAGGGAAAAATTCTATTATTCAATTTCTGAACCTCGGGTACGTTTGCGAACAAAACACCAAGCCGATTTATACAGAAATGGACTATAGCATTCCAAGCATTTGTGCAAGTAGTTTCCCTTGAGCGATGCAAGCCATCACATCCGATTATATTTGCGACGAAAAGCAAGCATCATTGCGCATAATCTTGCTTCAATCTGCAGCTCCAAAAATTAAAAATGGAGCTGCCAATATTGCAAGTGTGCGAATATTACGGGCAGAGACTTGGCACCTGGTACTACAGCCCTCGAAAAATACAAGCGGCTTTAAAACTGCATATATGGGACCTGTATTGTATGTATCATTAAAATTTGAATGTTCTCTGAGATACAGATATATTCTATAAAGGTAATATAAAAAAATCAACAACTTTGATTCAAAAGTATGCAAGGTACAACTATTTACCACAATCCAGCATACCCTGCTTGCAGTCCAGAAAATCAGTAGGAAATTGATCTAACACTCGTCTACGGACCGGTGTGTCTATAGACTGTAGCGACTGTGAAGGAGTCAGCGGCATCCGTTTCGATTCACTCTAAGATCGGCCATGTATCTAGCGCTCAAAGATCAGAAGTAATGACACTAATATACTAGAAATGAACAGAAACTAAGACTCGGGATCATTCATTTATCCTCAAAAGCACATTTTTTTGTCTGTACATACTCTTTCAAGAGCGTTGAGATATATTTCATATTTTCAATTCGGAGTCCAAATCACTTTGTTATATCAGATTTGTGAAGAAGGGAATCAATGTCTAGCTGTGCTTCAAAAATAAGTTGACCACCTATAGATTTCGAATCGAGCTCACCTCGGATTGGCCACATATACCTGCTTCATCCAAAGACATACCATTCACCTCATTATTTTCAGTCAGTTGTCCCTATTCTATACTTCCTGAATAATATATATGCAGCAGTATTTCATCCTATAAACGTATTCAAAGACTGATGGTTTATTGAGTTTTCAACAGTACAATATGCACGCAACGATGACTAATTAACGAGCCCATACGACCCAATACACTGTACTTTATAAATTTGGTATACCATCAATCTCTCACCGACTACAAACAGAAACTGTTCATTATTAGCTGTCCCAAATTCGTGATCAATGATAGTTACAGAGCACTTCTCACCTGAATCTAATGTGTGTTGCCAGCTTCTACATTCTAAGGCTGTATGAATACAACTAAACTACCTTTATGACCTAACGATTCGACAAGTACAAAGATTCATTCAGGACAATATCCAACTTAAAGATGCAGTACGCTTTACCATCTATAAATGTATCATATGAACTGAAATGATATTAGAAAGAGGTATAAGCTGAGGAGATTATATATCGACTCCTGTAAATTTTTTATATCGTACAATGCAAACAGTGGAAGCAGTATCAGATCACTTTGCAATGTGCACGACGGTATATACTCTGTGTATGCGACAGCAGTGATTGTCTGCACGCCTACAATTCTCATAACCAGCATATCTGTGACGTTTCCATTCCATCACCTCCCCGAGCCACCTCCTCAAAGTGGATGTATATTTATAGCGCGACTGCGCGCCGGCGTTTGCATGACGTAATAAAATATCCATGGCATTGTTGATTTCTTTCACTTTGTCACGATTGACGATTCAACCCTGTCAGTGTCCGGCCGTCACCCGTCACCCCGGCGGCCCGGCCCCTGCCCTCGAACCTGGGCTGGTATGTATTTATTTACAGTTTACTATTTAGTCCTTCCCGCGAGTTGAATAATTGTCGTTAATTAGCAATTATATACGTTTGAACGTACTAACACTTGCCACTTTTTAGTTTCTAACGTATAAAAAGTAACACGCATATGTAGAACGTCTACATTCGCGAAGCAACAGGAGTGAGGAGATTCGATACGCAAACTCGATACGCGTTAAAAACGTATTCACAATACACGTTCAAACAATTTTTATTGGCTAATATAAAATTAAGCAGGGGGTCTGTTATTAGGGCAATGTCCCCCAAACGCCAAATTCGCGTGGGGTCTTTATCTTCGCAAATATTAAAAAGCGATAAAGTCTGACTCTGGAGGGACTTCCAAAGTTCTAAAGCCCACGCTTTCAGTGATAAAATTTTTAGAGTCAATATTTATTTTTTGCTATGCTGATCAAAACATGAACTCCTAAAACAGAACCAATCAAAAAGAATAAGGATTAAATATATTTATATATATATATTTCTAGAAGTCGCGGACATGTATGTACGCACGATAATATTGTATGTAAATATGCTTGCGTGAATGCATTTACATACGTATGACGACTATAGTCTAAATATACGTCTCCTTCGTTAATATTTATAATATACTATCATAATTCGTACATATGCCAGTATGTGACTCTGTGTAAATATAAAATACATATCAACCCTTATATTAATCATATATCTAGTAGACAGTATACTCGAAGATCACCCCCTGAGGGTCAGCTACCATTGGCAATTACACTGCGCCTGCTTGCGCACCGGCAGGCATGAAGTCATCACAGGTACACACAGCAAA